AAAAAAAAAACATAAAATTTTTATTTTTTATCTTATTATTACTTAAACATACTTTTTTACAAATAATAAGTATATGATCAAAAAGAAACAATATCACTGATTCTTTTTTTCCATTTTGATATAAATAAGCATCAGCACGACCAAGACCTTGTGTACTTGTTTCAAGTATATCTTTTCCCTAAAATTAAAAAAACACTCAGATTTCAACAAAATTCTAGATATTCTCTCAAATCAAATAGCAATAGAGATATCCATTACAGTTGAAAACCTGCCACTATCTCATCGCAATAAACTATATAAAGTTATCTCAGTCGCGATGGTTCTCTAAAAGTCTTGCAGTGGTTGTGCCACTATGATAGACATCCCTAGATTGTAATAAAGATGTTTTGTAGCATTTATCATCAAGTCTAAAATGTTAAGGTTGATATCACGATCGTCATTTTCTGTCATAAATTTAAGAATTTCAACAATCAATATTTTGTACTAGATGAATTTTTAATTAGATGATCGAATACACATTTCGAATATCTTCTTTTTTTTTGTTTATCTATGTTACCTGCCAACATTCAACTGTATGTTGCCATTTATGAATAATTTCAATATATTCCATACGTCTTTTTCGTTCATTAATATAACTTGCAACATCACGCATTGTATTTAATGCTTGTTGAATATTATTATAATCTTTATGTTCATATAATGTATATTTTAATAATTCATTTAATTGTAATGGATATTGACAAATACGTTGAATTGGTGTTAGAAGAAAAGCATCTAATTTTAATTCAATCATATTTGCTTGTAATCGACATGTCTAAATAATTGAATATATAATATAAAAATTCTATTTAAATAAACTATTTAATTTACTTCAAAAAAATTTCGATAAGTATTATTATTTTCAAGTTTAACTAATTCTAAACATGATAATGAATGATTAATACAATAATCTGAATATTTTTTAAATTCTTCTTTCTAAAAAAAAAAAACAAAAAATTTCTTTTTTTCTTCTTATTATTATTTAATCTTACATAAAGAAGAAAACATTTTCCAATAAGACTTTCATGTGGATTTAATTCATCAATTGATAATTTTAATAATTGAAAAAATGATTGTTGAAAATCATAGATTTCTTCAATATTTCCCATTAATAATTCAATTTGTTTTTCAGAAAATAAATCTATACGTAAACGCATTTTTTTTAAATAACCCTATAAAATAAAAATTTAATATATAAAATAAATAAAAACAAAAAAAAAGAAAATAATTAACTTACATCAACTAAATTTTTTAAATGTCCTAAATAATCACATTCAGTTTTATAAATTTCTTTAATTATATTACCACGTTTAATAAGATTTTCTTTAGATATTTCTATATCATCACTTACTGATGATGTTTGATTACTTAATGAATGAGAATTACTTCGAAAACCTATTCAATATTAATAATAAAAATAGATAAAAAAAAAAAAAAAGAAACAAAGATTCTAACCAGAAGAAGATGAATATGGAGATGAAAGATAATTAAGATTAGAATTAGATATTATTGGAAGATCTTCATCAATTAATGTTGAAGAACATTGCTTACGACGTAATTGAATTGGATCAAAATGATGATTATTATTATTATTAGTTGTTGGCTTAAAAAAATACAAATATTTATTTAACGACAGAGGAAATTTTATAATTAAGATTTTGTCAAAATAAGATAAAAAAAAACATTAGTATAAGTCAATTTCAATTATTTTTAGGCTCTATATCAAAATTGATATTTTTCTCATTTCATAATACAAATAAGACTCGTTTTTATATTGATCAAGAAGCCAGAACTAGACCATAATATACAGTAAAAACGATAAAATTTCAATTTTCTCAGAAGCAATAAAAATGAACAGTTGTCTCATACATAATCACATCCCATAAATGAGATATTGAATATTATTCGACACTTCCTTTTTCACTTAATCTTCATATTTTGAAATTAACAAAACATTTAACATCATCTTCTTCTCAATACTAACTAGAGCATATCAGGTTGGTTCCGGATCTATATCCAAAATTTTGAATCAGCCGAACTCTTATACTGGAAATTTCAAACCTGTCGAGTTGGATCTCGGATTTGGAACCCTAAAAATTTCCTATTGAATATGTTCGGGTGCAAAAATTTTATACCCGACGGGTTCTAATCATAAATTTTCGTTAGAAATTTGATTTTGTAATTTATATCAATAATTTTTATTTCTCTCTTTTAAATAATTATTGCATTTAGGTTTTTCGGTTTTTTTTCTTTTTATTGAACTAACTTTAATTTTTTGTGTTACAGCTTGTTGAATACCAATAGGTCGAAATTTACATTCTTTTACATGTTGATAATGACGTCGATTTTGTTTATCTAATTTTTTTGTTGATATTTCTCCATCATTTTGTCGTTCCAATCGTTGATAATGTCTGAGTGCTTCAGATATAAGTGAAGAATTACCTAAGAGAAAAATATATATGTCGTATTGAGAATTAACATAAAGATTGCATGTATAAAATTTTATTTTTTATCTCAATAACAGATCATTGACATGATAAAGAATTTCAATGCGTAAAAAGCTTTCACTCTTATTTCATCAGATTCCGACAGATACCACAGGTGTCATCTATCAAAAATAATTACATACTCATTACTCTTGTTATATCTTGTTTTTTTTTTCTTTAAACAGTAGAAATGATTGTTATTTTTTTTCCTCTGTTTGTTCTTTTTATTGATCAGGTGTATAAGAAATCTTAACTCATTAAATATCGATTATTCATTTTTTTTTGTTTTTGTTTTTGTATTTTACATGGTTTTCAATTCTAAATATGATAAATGAGATGAATAATCTTGACTGTTCTTGTATTTATCATCTTTTGAACAATAAAACATGCAGATGTTTAGATTTATAGTTAGTACGAATTAAAAGACACAAAACATTGTACACATGCCGACATAATAGTTATTGTCATATGAACTAATATCCTTTAATTTTATCATGTTCATTGACCTCTTCATAATAGCGGTATGTTTTTAAAAAATAAAACATAGTTATACACATTTCCAACTGTGAAAATTTCGATCATAAGATCAGCAAATACAACATCATTAGCACGAGAAGTCTTTTAAAAGAAAAAATTTCTATTTTAACACATTTTGTCGTAATACAAATATGAATACATATCCCTAAGGATATGATGATGATGATGAATGATTGATTTATGTATATAATTTTGCTTTCTTTCTTCCCGGAAATCACTTTTCAACACCTTCTGTATACATTTCAATATCAATTGCACAAGACGTTAGACATACATTTCTCTAAGCTTCTTTCTATATGTACATACTGACTTTTTTTTCGATAGGTTTCAATCATCATCGTCTTATTTGATTAACATCTTGACACGAACGTGTGTCTTCTCTTTGCTGAATTAGCGAATGTACATATATATATATACACACACACACACACTCCAATCATCATCACCATCCTTGATGACGAGCGATAAGAACATGATGTTTCACTCTGCATCTAGTTGACACGCGATCTTAACAAAAAAAGAAATGTGGGAAAATTCTATTCTCTCCCATCATCATCATCATCAACTAAGTTATTTAGCGTTTTTACCTATAAGCAAACACCCACGGTGATGATGTCTGTTTAATTCACTTATTTTCTCCTTTTCTGATATGTTTATTATAAATATAACCAAATTTAACCTTTTGGTGTCGTCATTATTTTGTTTTTAATTCATTTACCATTCTGTTTATCATTTTAATGAGCTATATAATAATCTTTCTACCATATGGTATATAGAAGATATTTGATATTTTAATCTTATTTAAATCAAAAAAAAAAAAAAAAAAAAAATTTTTTTTTAAGGAGCTACAATTAGATCATATTGATCTTTTTTATTAAAAAAGAAAATCAAGTATGTTGATGTTTATGTTTGCCTCTCGGTAAAACACAACATAGAAAAAAAACCGACCACTGACTGTGGTACGTGCGCACACACATGCAAATCATCATTCTATCTTGACAACACCTGTATTGGCTCAATAGGCACTTAAATGAGCAACGAATCGAAACGAAAAATGTCAACGTAATGTGCGCATATTCGTTTGATGTGTCAAGTGCCACAAGGACTAATGAACTCAAAAGAGCAACAGAACTATTCATATATGTTCGTATGATCTTGTTAAAGAAACGAATCATTGATCAATGAAGAGTTAGTTTATATTAAAACTTTTTCAAATTAAATCTTCTTGTCAACTAATACAACGATCAATCGTATATCCTAAGGGAGGAAAGTGAGAGATGAATTGTCTACATGTGGTTTTTATAAATTGATAAAACAAAAAAAGAAAACATCGAATGTAAAGCCAATACCCCCTCGTTCCGCTAAACATATCGCCTTGTCGGTGGTCTTATATATATATACAACAACAACAACAACAACAACAAAAAAAGAGTCTATCACTTACGTTTAAGACTACATCGTACAGTAACCGATGTTGATTGTCCATTTTCTTTTATATAACGAAAACGTATTTTTCTCATTGTAATGAAAAATAAGTTGAATCTATTTTTTGTTAGTTGTACGATTTAATGACATGCAAGATATTCAATCTATCTGTTAGATGAGTAAACGATTCGAAAGCAAGGAAAGAAAAAAAAAAGAGACAAGATTAAATAATATGAACCAATACGAGAATGAATATGTGAATGATCAAGGCAAAGAGAAGAGAGAAAAGAAAAAAAAAAACGAATTTTTATTCGCCTTTTTTTTTTCTTCTTTTTCTTCGGTTCGATTCTGTTCTAGTAGACAGACGCGAACGATGATGCGTTTTTTTCCAAGCGAATGAACATGATACCTCATACTGTGAGAGTCGAAAAATCAACAATCGACTTCATCAAAATGAAGTGAGAGAAGCATCATTCTCAGGTGACCACTTTATCGAAGTACAACGGTATTCTTTTTCTACCCCTCAAACAAAACTCATTTCCGTGATATGTTTATACAGGCGGAGTTTTAAAATTATGCATCAACACCTTTTCATTGTCATATAGCATTTGTTCAATCAAGAATTGTAATATGAGCTTGAGGGGAAGAAAAAAAAAATTTTTTTTACTAAATTGAATGTGATTTAATTCTTGTTTTTTTTTTTTTATTAATCAATTCAGATATGATCAATGATCATAAAATAAAACGACTCCATAGAGACATTGGTTGTAGTTAAACAGATGTTCACTTATACGATTCATTTAGAAAACTATAATCTGATAATATGAATGGTCGATTTGACACGATTTTGATTATTCAGGTCAAATGATTGGTCAT